TCCAACCAACTGTGCCACACAGGCCAGAGCCTGAACCCTGAGGCACCGCTGGTTTCTGTTCCAGGAACCAGGGTATGGAGTGCCTTAAATTTTGCACTGAGCCGGGACTGGTTTGGCTCAATGGATAGAGCGTCGGCTTGGGGACTGAAGGGTCCCGGGTTCGATTCCGGTCAAGGGCATGTACCTTGGTTGCGGGCACATCTCCAGTAGGGGGTGTGCAAGAGGCAGCTGATCGATGACTCTCTCTCATCGATGTTTCTAACTCTCTATCTCTCTCCCTTCCTCTCTGTACAAAATCAATAAAATATATATATTTTTAAAAATTTTGCACTGAGAACTCAAAGGCCTGCAGCCTCCGATCTTACAGAGCTGCATGCTGGATAAGCATTTAGGACCATCCCCAGAGCTTAATACCCTTCCTTCTTTAAAGAAACCACCAAGAATTTCTTTAATTCTCACCCTCTCTCCCCAATACAGGACAGGAGGTGGGTGTCAACTGTGCTCCCCACTGTAATTTCTAAGTCTTTCCACTGCTCCAAACTCTAGCTTCCCTCCAGTTCTTGCCATCAGTCTAGCTCCCCACTTTTTGTTATCTTCCCTCATTCACTGAGACTTTATCTCCTGGTTTATTGTCTCACTCCCTATAGATACTCCTGTTATTCTTGGTGACTATCACTTCCACTGGGGCTTTGAACTTGCTATTCTCTCTGCCCACTGTATTCTTTCCCAAAACATCAGCTTGGTTCACTCTCTTCCTTCACATCTCTGCTCAAATGTCATCTAAATAGTAAGGTCAGCTCTGGCTGGGTAGCTCAGTTGATGGGAGTGTCATCCTATACACCCGAAAGTTGCGGGTTCAATTCCCAGTCAGGGCACCTACCTAGTTGTGGGTTTGATCCACAGGCTGGGCAAGTATAGGTTTTTCTCTCTCACTGAAGTTTCTCTCTCTCTAAAACCAGTGAATCTTCTGATGAGGATTTAAAAAATTACATGGACATAATCCTTGACTGCTTTTTTCCCCCCATCTCCACATTCAATTGACCTCCAAGTACTACAAAATATACTTCAAATGCATCCACAACCCTCCATCTCTCTTGACACCACCCTAGCCCAAGTACTACATATATGTTTTACTTTGTTATTTTTTTTTAGTTGCCTATTCCCACACTAGAATATAAGTTTCACAAGGACGGGGACTTTTGCCTGTTTCTGTTTGACTAATCCTCAGCTTCTAAAACAGGGCCTGGTACATAGAATGTACTAAAAAACAAAACAAAACAGTGTTGAATAAATGAATCAATGAAAGAATGATACATCCATCCAATATCATGGCCTTTCCCATTCTTTCACCTCCTCAGCACCCACAGCTATAACTGACATCATAATTGAGTCCTGGGCCTTGTCATCACCACAGTCACTGGCTACTATCTCCAACCCATCCTGCTCGCTTGCTCTGCCATTTCTATCACAATTAATCTGCTTCATCAACAATATATTTACATCATGGCTAGTGTAGCTCAGTGGTTGAGCATCAACCCACAAACTAAGAGGTCACTGGTTCCATTCCCAGACAGGGCACATGCCTAGGTCATGGGATCGATCCCCAGTAGGTGTGCAGGAGGTAGCTGATCAATGTTGCTGTTTCTCTCTTATCTATAGATGTTTCTATCTCTCTATCCCTCTCCCTTCCTCTCTCTCTAAATATCAATAAAAACATGCCGAAACCGGTTTGGCTCAATGGATAGAGCGTCCGCCTGTGGACTGAAAGGTCCCAGGTTTGATTCCAGTCAAGGGCATGTACCTTGGTTGTGGGCACATTCCCAGTAGGAGGTGTGCAAGAGGCAGCTGATTGACGATTCTCTCTCATCGATGTCTCTAACTCTCTATCCCTCTTTCTTCCTCTCTGTAAAAAATCAATAAAATATATTTTTTTAAATTAAAAAAGTAAATATCAATAAAAATATATATATATTTTAAAAGACACCTTTGTCTTCCTCCCCTGAGAAACCCCAACCAGACTATTCTCCATATTTGCACTCAACTAATATCAGTGACTACTTAGTGCTTACTATAGGTCAGGCACTGTTTTAAGCACTTTAATTCTTTTAATTTTCACAGCTATGTGAGGTGAGTGTTATTATCATCATCCTCATTTTACAAACTCAGATGACCAATTAACTTGCTGGGGAAAGATGCATAACCATGCTAATTTTTCTATTTTTCCTTTCCCACCCACTCTCATCGTCTTCTGCCTCCATCACTCCTCTGACAGTACTCTTGGCAGAATCACTAATGTCTTCTTGGGTTATTCTCTAAACCTGCCTCACTTTCAACAGCATTTGGCAAAACTCTGCCTCCATTTTTGTAATTTCTTCCGCACCCTTCCTCTATATGCTGGGATGCCCAGAGCTCTGCCTGAGCCTTCTCCTTCTCCATCTACACTCTCTCTGGGACTGAATCCATTCTCAAGACACGACATACTATCTACATGCTCTCCCACTTCTCAAAGTATATCCCTGGCCCCAATTTCTCCCCTTAGTTTTACATTTCACATTTAATGTACCTAAAAACTCCTGACTTGTCCCAATACCTTTTTATATCCCTGTTTCCTGCTCTGAGTAAATCATACCATCCATCTGGCAGCAAAACCTGGACACCACACTTGACTGCTTCCTTCCCTGCACCTCCACATCCAATTGACCTCCAAATCCTACAAAATATACTTCAAATCCACCCACATCTCCCCATCTTTCCTGATACCCTAGCCCAAGCAACATCATTTCCTGCCTGGACCATGAAAAATGCATCCTAATGAGTCTTCCTGATTTCACTGTTGCCCACCCACAATCCATTCTCTAAAATTCAGCCATCATTTTACTCCTCTGTTTTAAAACTCTACATGGTTTCCCAAACAAACTCCAAACGCCTTACTGACAAGACCTGACAATGTGGCTTCTGGCCATCTCTCCATAACCAGCACGCTTCCCCTCTCACTAGCCTCAGTCCAGGTACGTTAGTCTTTTTTCTGTTCTTCTTTCCCAGCTCTTGGTTTTTGGAAGATCACTGCCTCTCCCCAGAATGTTCTTTCTACAGCTCTTCACGTGACTGATCTCATAATCATTCAGTTCTCAGTTTACAAGTCTCCTTTTCTTTTCAGAGGAGACCATTTTTTAAAAATATATTTTTATTGATTTCAGAGAGGAAGGAAGAAGAGAGATATAAACATCCACGATGGGAGAGATTCATGGATCGGCTGCCTCTTCCAAGTCTCTCACGGGGGATGGAGCCCACAACCCAGGCATGTGCCCTTGACCGGAATCAAACCTGGGACCTTTTAGTTCGTAGGTTGACGCTCTATCCACTGAGCCAAACCAGCCAGGGCTCCCAGACGATTTTATCTCCGTGGTATCTTCTCGTTATTCTCTCCTCATTCTGTTTACTTCCTTCATAACATTTATTATAATTCATAATGAACTTGATTATTTATTGGTTTGCAGGTTTGTGTCTATCTCCCAAACAAGAAAGCAAACCAGCTCATCTGTCTCATTCACTTTATCCCAGCACCACACAGTAGCTGATATATTGGTAATCACTTAATAAATATCTGTTGGCACTCTCCCTCTCAGGAGCATGCCCATACCTTTCTTCCTTCTCAGGCATGCATCTCCTGAACACTAAGCTTCCCCCAAAGACTTGCAACCAGGGGAGCAATGGGCAGCGGCAGTTCAACCTGTCTCCAAGGTTCCTTTTCTCTGACTTTCCAGTGAGCCAAGGCAGCCCTGCCTAGCACCATTTTTTTTTTTTCTTTTTCTAAAATATATTTTTATTGATTTCACAGAGGAAGAGAGAGGGAGATAGAAATATCAATGATGAGAGAGGATTATTGATTGGCTGCCTCCTGCATGACCCCTACTGGGGATCGAGCCTGCAACCCAGGCATAAGCCCTTGATCAGAATTGAACCCGCAACCCTTCAGTTCGCAGGCCAACGCTCTATCCACTGAGCCACACCGGTTAGGGCGCCATTTCTATCTTATAACATTTCTACAGAGCCACAGCAACCCCGCCTAGGCTCCCTCCTGTTGCTTCTTCTATCCTAAGCCCTTCCTTGTTTCATTGTGCCCAGCTTTAATAAATGTACTCTCAAAAAAAACCTGGCTCCAGCTAGTTTGGATAGGGATGATCAACCAACCCGAGGTCTGCAGGGCCCCAGGTTCAATTCCAGTCAAGGGCACATATCTCAGTTGCAGGCTCAATCCCCGTGTGGGAGGCAACCAATCGACATATTGATGTTTCTCTCTGTCTCTCCCCGTCTACTCTCTCTAAAAATCAATGGAAAAATATCCTCGAGTGAGGATTAACAAAAAATAAAATACTACTAAAATATAAAATGTTAGCCCTAGCTGGTTTGGTTCAGTGGATAGTGTCTGCCTGTGGAATGGAGGGTCCCATGTTTGATTCCAGTCAAGGGCACATGCCTGGGTTGTGGGCTTGATCCCCAATGGGAGGATGTGAAGGCAGCCAATCAATAATTCTCTTTCATCCTTGATGTTTCAACCTCTCTCTCCCCCTCCCTTCCTTAAAAAAAAAAAGAAAGAAAGAAAGAAAAAGAAAGGAAAAGAAAAGAAACAAAATAAAATTTTAAAAATAAAAAATCTATAAGTCAATTAAGTACTGTCACTAGAAATTCACCACTCTTTTATGAAAAACACATATTCCTGACTAAAGAGGGGACAAACATCTCTTTAAATGACTTTATACCCTAGCTCATTTGGGTACAGCGTCCTCCCAACATCAAGGTTGCAGGTTCAATCCCAGTAAGGTTGCATGCATAATTAAGTAGAACCACAAACAGATGTTTCTTTCTTTCTCTCTCAAATCAATTTTTTTTAAAAAATAATAAAGGACTTCAGAATTTAGGGTAAAAAATGCTACCTATGGAAATTCATGATGGAGATGTTCAGTGTCTGGTGAAGAGGCTGGGTTAGCCCTTATCCTTACCATTTCTGCATATTCCAGCTGTTTCCCTTCATTGTACATCTCTGGGGGTAGGTTATAAATCCGCAGGATGTTATCAGCACTATTGGTCAAGATGCAGGAACCATCAGGGGCCCTAGGAGTAGGCAAAAGTTAGAAAGCTAGACAGACCAACATTTTCCAAGTGTAGGGCTAGGCCTGAGCCTACATCTAGGGAGTAAAGCCCCTCCAAGACCTGAGGGAAGTAGAAGACAAAATTCTAGGGAAAGTGAAGTCCCGTATTCCCACCTCTGGTGAATCCTTCTCCCAGAGAAATGGGGTCTTTGAAGGTGAACATCCAGGTGTGTTTATCTCCCTGCCCCATTTTCCTTACCACTTACAGCCTTTCAAGAAGTTCTCAGGCTGGGTGCTGAACTCTGACCAGGAACCACTGAGGAACTGAGGTAGCTGGGAGAAGCTGTAGCTCCAAGTGCTGGAAGGAAGATGGGGGACAAGAAACCTGAGTCGCCAAAGCAAAGAGGAATTAGGTCTGGAGAACTGGGACTGAGGACTGGAGGATAAGGTATATATCTCACACTTCCATGCATCTCAGATTTCCAATGTCCTCGGATTCCCTCAATCCACTGTCGTCACCACTTACATGGATCCCTCATCCTCAGGAACAGGCTCCTCACACACACTTTCCATGGCTTCTCCGGGCCCCAAATCTGGCCTGTTCGTGTCCTCTGCAGGAAGGCTCACATTTTCAGAAAGCTCTTGCTCCTTGATTCCAGGGCTCAACTCACTAGGAGCGCAAAACCCTGTGTCCAGGGAAGTGGAGAGAAAAGCTGGGTCCCCCTCCTCCAGCTCCCGGGACAAAGGTGAGCCAACCATGGGATCCAGAGACACGGGGGGCGGATCATCCCTTTCGGATGTCAGTGGCATCAGTTCTGGGTCCGTATTTTTATCCATCGGGGAAGCCTGAGGCGAGAGTCGGGCTGGCGCTGGGGCCTTGTCTGCAGACAGGCAGTAGGGAGCTAACGGTGGCTCCTCGGACGTCTTCATACCGCAGAGGAAGCTCGGCAGGCATTGGCCTCGGCCAGGCAGCCCTCTTCCCACGGGCTGCTAGGAGGCTGCTCCGGCTGCTCCGCTTCCAAATGCACAAGGATCCCGGAAGCCGACAGACACACCTGCGCCTCCCTTCTTCTCCCGGGAGGGGGCAGAAGACCCCGGGAATGAAAAGTAGCAGCTGGGACACCTAGGTTGAAAGCACCGCGGAGCTTCGCGAGTTGGTCCCTTCGCGCCACTGACTCTCGCGAGATCTGGGCCAACCTTCCGATTGGATCTCCGCCCCTCGGCTCAGATTTCGCGGGAGACCCGCGGAAGGGGCGGGACCAGGGCTCACGGTTCCCAGGAAGCCGTGGGGCTCCTCGTGGCTCCTGGGAGTTGTAATCTGAAAGCGTCTGCCGGGGCGAGCTCCCGCGGTCGTCCTTAAAGCGCCTGCTTCCCACCTCAGCTGCAGGGGGCGCTAGCGCCACGCTTGATTTTTACAGGTTTTGAACTTTTCCTTCTCGCCAAGTTCCTCAGACTTTAGTATCTTCATTCACTAAATACGCATTTATTACTGAGCGTTTAGTTGCTTCCCAGCACTGTACTAAGCCCTGGGAAATAAAGCAGTGAATAAGACAGTAGACTAAAGTTTACGTTGCTGTGTATTTGAAGGCAAGGAACAAATATTTTCAGGTAGTAATAGGGCTTGAAGAAAATAAAGCAAGATGGTGTGATACAGAATAATAGGGGAAATACATCAGATTGGGATCTTAATAAAAGCCTTCCTAAAAGGTGACGCTTTCGCTGAGAAGAAACTGTCCAGCTACCTGGGAGAGGGGTGTTCCAGGCAGAGGGAACGGCAAGTACAAAGGCTTTCTTCCTTCCACCTTCCAATCGGATCCAATGGCAGGAGTCTTCCAAAATGGTTTCCACCAATTCTGCCCTCACGCCGCTGGCTCGTCTAACTTCCCCATCCCAAAATGTCGGTGGCTACAGCACCCACACGGCGGAACCCGGACTCTTCCCCCCTCTCCAATAGCCTCCGCCCGCCGGCACGCTGCTTGCCCTTACTTGTCATGGCCACTGCCCGGCTTTGTGCCAGTAGTCTCGCAGGGGTTGCTGGGATTGGGATTTTCCCCTCCCATGTGCCCGAACTGGCGCTAAAAGTTTTGAGCTCAAAAGTCCGAAGCCGCCGTCCTGGACGCAGGTGTCCCCTGGGCCCCCAGGGTCCCCTGGCTCCCGGCCTCGGAGGGTGCTTCCCAGGACGGGGATACGCTCCCCGGAAGCTCCGGTAAGCTCTCGACAGTGTGACAAGTCCTCTCCGAGCCCATGAGCTCTCGACCCCGAATATTTTCAGCTGGCGAGGCTGGGTGCTGGGGACTCGGCGATTTGGCTGGGGGTTGCGGGGAGAGGAGAAGCTTGGCTGGCGGCTCTGTTGAGAGGTCTGGGTGTAGGTAATGAGGATGTTGGGAACCTAAACACCGGGGGGTGGGGGGGGTTGAACTTCGGGGAACCTGAACACCTGGGCGCGGGGGTAGGGGGTGGGGAGGGGCTTTCCGCTGGCCTAAGGGGTTCTTCACCACCCACCCATTCCTATCCTCATCCCAGGGTCGGGAGCGGGGAATCGTTAAATAACACGATCTGAGACTTTTGGATCGGGAACTCCCGGCTCTAGATTTTATTTATTTATCTATTTTGTCTAAAGGGTTACATGTTTCCTTTTTCCCCCGATCGACCCCCTACCCCAACCCCTAGTCATTCCCACCCCGGCCATGCCCCCTCTGCCCTAGTGAGTCTGTCCATTGGTTATGCTAATACGCATGCATACAAGTCCTTTGGTTGCTCTAACTCCCCCCCCCCTTGCCATTTGTCCCTGGATCTATTCTTATTCATTAAATTAAATTATGTTGCCGGCTCTAGAATTTAGAGCTCATGGTACCCTACTGAAATCTGGGATTGCATTCTGAAATGATTATTCGGGGCGATCTGAGAGCCCACGCTGCTAAGGAAGGTCCCATCACTACCGGACCTTTGTCCTTCCTGGAATAATGTTTCCAACCGGCTCTGCTAGACGAAGAAAATCCAATCAAATACTGAGTCGTGGAAGTGGGAAATGCCAAAGGAAAGGTTTGCCCGCACAATCCGGGTGGAAGATCCCGGTCTGAGAGGTCCAGGAGCCCTGTTATTGTTTGGCTCTCCATTTACATGTCTGCCCCTTGCAGTGTGCCACTTCCGGTTTCTTCCTTCGGAGCAGCATATTTACCCGACGAAAGGGAAGGAAAAAGAGAGAGAATGTCTTTTAAATTGGTTCCGATGACCTGGGGAAAGAAGCTGATAACCCTCTCCTCTATATTTTTTTCCTTTTTCTTTCTGGACTACTTAATTTCGGCTTTCAGGAAGGACGGGCGTGTCTTTGTTTTGACGCTAAGCTCTCTCCCTCCCCCTCTTTGAATGGTGCGCTCCACTCTGGGGGGGACTGCCTTCCAGGCGGACGCTACCATTGCGTGGGGAGGGTTTGTTTGTTTGTTTTTAAGTGTGCACAGGGAACCCCTGGGTATTTTCGCGAATGAGTACGTTTGTGAATTACGCGATGAAAGAGTGTATAACGACGGTTCATTTGTGGCGGGGAAAAAAACTTGTACCCGGCTTTGGACTAAACCATTCCGACTCCGGACGCAGCCTGAACGTCGTGAAAGCGAAAGCGGAAGCGGAAGGGGCGGCCCCGCGGTCCCCAGTGCAGCTCCCGTCCCGCTAGGTGTTGGCCCGTGAGAGGCAGAACCTCGCCGAGGCCAAGCTTAACCATTTTCCCGGCATCTTCGTCCCCTAATATGTGGTCGTCCTTTTCCAGTCACTTACGACGTGCCTGCGCGGTACCCGATGTGCTTTTTTATTAATAAACTGAGGTCCCATTTATACCCACTGCAATTAGATGAGTTTTGGCATCGAACCACCGTCTAACGCCTTTCGATGTAGAATATTTTCATCGTCCCAGAAAAGTTTCTCATGCCTCTTCCCAGTGTATCTCTGACCCCCACCTTTATTTTTTATTTCTGTTTAGAGAACTTAATATAAATGGAATAATACCTGCAGTGTGTGCTTCTTGGTGTCAGGCTTCTTTAGCATGGTTTTTGTGAAACTCATCCATGTTATTGCATGTATGGGTAGAGTATCAGTATTTTGATACTTTTTAGTTAGTAAATTATATTGGATTGTTTATTCTCATTTTGATGGTCTCTTGATTTCATGGGGTTATTTTGAATAAAGCTACTATTAACATTCTTTTTAAAAATATACCTATTTTTAAATAAATTTTATTGATTTTTAGAGAGAGGAGGGGAGAGATAGAAACATCAATGATGAAAGAAAAACTTTTTTTTAATATATATGTTTTTAAAATGTATTTTTTATTTCAGAAAGAAAGAGAGAAACATCAGTGATGAGAATCATTGGCCGCCTCCTGCATGCCCCCTACTGGGGACCGAGCCCCCAACCCAGGCATGTTCCCTTGGCCGCAATGGAACCCAGGACCCTTGAGTCCACAGGCTCTATACTCTGAGCCAAACCAGCCAAGGCGAGCAACATTGCTTGGCTGTCTCCTATTGGAGATCTAGCAAGCAATCTGGGCATGTGCCCTGATCAGGAATCTAACCATGGTCTCCTGGTTCATAGATCGTTGCCCAACCAACAACTAAGCCACATTTTCCAGGCGCTATTAACATTTGCTGAATTCTTTTTGTGGTCATAGGTTTTCATGTTTCTTGTTATAAAAAATTATAATTTTCAAAGTGGTTATACCGTTAGCAGTTGTCATGTGCTTATTGGCCATTCCTATGTCATGTGAAGTGGCTCTTCAAGACTTTTCCCCATTTTTAAATTGGTTTGTTTGCTTTTTTAATTATTGATTCGTAGTATTTTACATATTTTGGATATGTATCATAGTTTGGATATGATACACGTGGGAGCTTTTTTTCCTTTTTAAAAAATGTTTACAATAGAGGAGAAGGGGACATCTAATACTTTAAACAAGAAAGAAAAAATTGTTTAATATATTTTTATTCATTTCAGATAGGGGGAGATAGATAGAAACATCCATGAAGAGAGAGAAGCATCAATCTGCTGCCTCCTGCACACCCCACACTGGGGATAGTACCCACAGTTGGGGCATGTGTCCTGAGTGGGAATCGAACCGTGACCTCCTGATTGACACAACTATTGAGCTATGCTGGCAGTGCAACAATAAAGATCAATTTATTTTTTTTTTTTTTTTTTTTTTTTTATCAATCTTTATTGTTCATATTATTACAAAGGTTCCTCATTTCTTCCCCCCTCCACCAGGTTCCCACCCCACCCTCTGCCCCCTCCCCATCCCCCATTGTCCTCATCCATAGGTGCAGTTTATGTTCAGTCTCTTCTTCCCTCAATTTCCCCAATAGTAAATCCCTTTTCAGATAGTAAATCAGTTACTTAGCATTTTCTCATATCAATAATACCTCCACATGCCCAATGATACACTTCACACAAAAGACATTTCCCAATAGGTCCACCAGCCTCATCCAGGCCCCACCCAAGGCACTCACAGATCAACACCACAGTCCTAAACTAACTCAACACATCCAGATCTAAGCCTTCATCACTTGATTCAGCAGACCCTCAAGTTCCCACGCAAGTTTCCAGCCATGTCTGAGAGGCAGCCGTGGGGCAGGGGCAGGCAAGGAGCGAGCTGTTCTGGGCCTGGCTGCTCAGGGCCTGGCCTCTGTTGCTCTGGTTCATTCCACAACCAGCTGCTCCGGGTCTGGTCACTGCCGCTCCCGACCTAGTTGCTCTGGACTTGGCTGCTGCTGCTCCGGGCCTGGCCGCTCCCAGCCTGGCAGCCGCTGCTCCGGGCCTGGCCACACCCGACCCGCCTGCTCCCCCGGGCCTGGCCGCTCCCAGCCTGGCAGCCGCTGCTCCGGGCCTGGCCGCACCAGCCCCGCCTGCTCCCCCGGGCCTGGCCGCTCCCAGCCTGGCAGCCGCTG